TGTTTAATTTTGATTGATATTTACATTCTTATGTTAAATTAAAATATTAATAATGTATTAGGAAAATCCCATCGCTATATTAAATGGATAATTGTTGATAATCGACTGAAATGATTATAATATTTAGCATAGTATTTCTCCAAAAAATTCGAGGAAATCCTTTAATTCAATTGTAAAAGGTTTATTTTTAGAACACTCCAATAGAATATAAATATATTTTTAATACTAATAATATTACATTTTTTAATATTTCTTATTTATTATTAAAGCTATTTTGTATAATTTTATAATTTCGGTATTAATTTTATTAAACGATCGTTAAATGTAGTGAAAATGCTACAATCTGTGAGTGTGAAAGTCTAAATCTCTCGCTCTCTCCTCCTGTTACTCCCTCCATGTGTATCTCTAGAGATATCCCTTGCTCTCTATTTCTCTCTCGCTTTCACTTTCTCTGTTCTCTTCACTCGGGGACTATAAATACAGGCACTCTCACCGCACTGGCCTCATTCGATTCGCGGCCTTCCCGCTGTTTACATCTCTAGAGTGTATCTTTGGTTTACTTATGATAGATTTCTTATATTAATCAAGGATCCTGCAAGTGTATTCAAACTTCGACTTTTCGAAGCTAGCTTGCTTTCTTGTTTTACACTAATTGAGGTCAATTAGTTTACAAAAACAAACACACACACACAATAGTAAAGACAATCAAATGCAGAGCAATTTTTAGCTCATGCTGCAACATTTGTTTTTCTTTTGCATAAATTTTTGCAATATTATGCACACATTGGAAATGTGACTCAATTTGAAGTTGTGTCTCAGTTAATTATGCCACATTTGATATTACTTTATATAAATACAGATATATAAAGTTATGTATAAGTATCTGTAGCTGTATCTGCATCGGCATCTTTATCTGTATCTTTGGGATGCGGCACGTCTTAACCACAAGTCACATCGATCATCAACATTAAAAGGAGACGAAAGATGACGCATATTGCATACAGAGAAATACATTAACCGACATTTATTCCATTGAAGTTAATGTTTCTTAAATATATAAATTTTTGAAAATTTATTAAATTAATTTATTAAATTTTAAAGCTAAATAAACAGAAAATACAGGAAATGTAGTAAGCTTTTTGTTATCTTCAGAGACAGAAGGTAATTTTAGGGATTGAAAACAAGTTTTAAAGGATTTTAAATATTTAAAAATTCTTGTTAAATTGATTAAATAATGATTTATCTATTTATAAATAATATTTTAATTAATTATTTATTTATTTTCACTTATTAAATTGTATTATTATTATTCAATTTCGATTTGTGCAAATCTAAGCCATTTTTTTTGTTTTGTTTGCATTTTACTTCTGTGGCTGGTGTGCGTAAGTACAGTGGGCCCTCATTGTACTGCAATGTGTGTGTGTTTGTGGCACCCCCTAAAATATATATATGCCCCTGCTCCTCCTACCTTTCCACCTCCCCCTTGGGGCAGACAAAGCGATTTATTTATCTCCGCCTGACGGGGCCAATCAAAACTTATTGTCGTCGCCGCAAACCAAAGCGTACCGAAATGAACCGAGTTCAGTTAAGTTAGAGGGACCCCTCTCCCATCATATTTCTTTTTTTATTTATTTATTTTTATTTAACTTTTTTTTTTGCTCCAGCGCAGGAAATCGCCACACGCCCAATTAGCAAATACATATTTGTACAGTGGCATTCACAAAATTAGCAAGAAGTGATATTATTATTAAAAAAAAAAACAAAGTAATGCCTGCTTTCATTTCATTTATATTTATAGTTTTACATTCACTGCTTTGAATTTTCCTCTATTTAAACGATCGGTTGTATGGCTGCCGATTTTTATAAAATTTTACACAAAATTCTAGATTAATAAATATTGGATATATATTAAATTTTACGAAAATCTGTTGAAAACTGGAAAAGTTTTAATTTTTTTTCTTAAAATTTTCCGATCGTTCCTATGGCACCTATATATATATATATATATAGTCCACCGATTCGCTATGCTTCGACTTATATATTAGTAAAATTACATCGAAGAATAACTCCATAGTTTCATTGAAATAGCTTGCTCTTTGTTCCAAAACAAATTTCGCGCACCTGTGCATATGATTCCCAACTTGTTCTCACCTCCCCGGAACGAAGTGACTGCTGCCGGCCACGTCTCAGATATGTGATGTGTTTCAAAAGTTGCAAGTCATTGTTTACCAGTGTTCAAAGTTAGTAACTGATCATAGATACTTACTGATCAGAGTTACTTACTGCTCATAGATACTTAGTGTTCAGAGTTACTTACTGGTCATAGATACTTAGTGTTCAGAGTTACTTACTGCTCATAGATACTTAGTGTTCAGAGTTAATTACTGGTCATAGTTACTTACTGGTCTTAGTTCTTTAAATCGTCCGATTGTTCCTATGGCAGCTATATATATGTATATTATAGTCCACCGATTCGCTATTCTTCGACTTACATACTAGTTAAATTACATCGAAGAATAACTCCATAGTTTCATTTAAATAGCTTGCTCTTTGTTCCAAAACAAATTTCGCGCACCTATGCATATGATTCCCAACTTGTTCTCACCTCCCCGGAACGAAGTGGCTGCTACCGGTCACGTCTCAGATATGTGATGTGTTTCAAAAGTTGCAAGTCATTGTTTACCAGTGTTCAAAGTTAGTAACTGATCATAGATACTTACTGATCAGAGTTACTTACTGCTCATAGATACTTAGTGTTCAGAGTTACTTACTGGTCATAGATACTTAGTGTTCAGAGTTACTTACTGCTCATAGATACTTAGTGTTCAGAGTTAATTACTGGTCATAGTTACTTACTGATCATAGTTCTATAAATCGTCCGATTGTTCCTATGGTAGCTATATATATGTATATATATAGTCCACCGATTCGCTATTGTTCGACTTACATACTAGTTTAATTACATCAAAGAATAACTCCATAGTTTCATTGAAATAGCTTGCTCTTTGTTCCAAAACAAATTTCGCGCACCTATGCATATGATTCCCAACTTGTTCTCACCTCCCCGGAACGAAGTGGCTGCTACCGGTCACGTCTCAGATATGTGATGTGTTTAAAAAGTTGCAAGTCATTGTTTACCAGTGTTCAAAGTTATTAACTGATCATACATACTTAATGTTCAGAGTTACTTACTGGTCATAGATACTTACTGATCAGAGTTACTTACTGCTCATAGATACTTACTGTTCAGAGTTACTTACTGCTCATAGATACTTACTGATCAGAGTTACTTACTGCTCATAGATACTTACTGTTCAGAGTTACTTACTGCTCATAGATACTTACTGTTCAGAGTTACTTACTGGTCATAGTTAATTACTGATCATAGTTCTATAAATCGTCCGATTGTTCCTATGGCAGCTATATATATGTATATATATAGTCCGCCGATTCGCTATTCTTCGACTTACATACTAGTTAAATTACATCGAAGAATAACTCCATAGTTTCATTCAAATAGCTTGCTCTTTGTTCCAAAACAAATTTCGCGCACCTATGCATATGATTCCCAACTTGTTCTAACCTCCCCGGAACGAAGTGACTGCTACCGGCCACGTCTCAGATATGTGTTGTGTTTCAAAAGTTGCAAGTCATTGTTTATTAGTGTTCAAAGTTAGTAACTGATCATACATACTTACTGATCAGAGTTACTTACTGCTCATAGATACTTACTGATCAGAGTTACTTACTGCTCATAGATACTTACTGTTCAGAGTTACTTACTGCTCATAGATACTTACTGATCAGAGTTACTTACTGCTCAGAGTTATTTATTTCATCAATAACTATTTCATAGTTATTTGTTTCTGACAGAAATTATAATACCCTGCGAGGGTATAGAAACTGATAAATATATTTAAAAATTATCTTTGAGCTGTTGTTATTTTTAAAATTTTATGAATTCATTTAAATACATTGATTAATATTTATTTAAATATCTTATAGCTTTTTGCTAACGTTCCCTATAAACTGAAGTATATTTATCAAATCATCTCTTAAGCTGTTGTCAATTGTTAAACTTTCTTTAAAAGTGTTTGAAATCTTTTAATTCTTTAGTACAATTTTTTGTTATTACTTAAAGCGAAGGTAACTATTATTTTGAACATGCTTGTATATGCAATTTTTGGTTGACAGAAATGGTGAGGTGAGGCAAAATTGAGGGGATTGCTTGTTTGCGGCTTCGTTTGTTTAATTTTGTGTGCCAGATATATTTTTCAATGGAATAAGCATTTTTTTTTTTGCCAGTTCCCACTCTCCTCTATCCCGCTTCTTGATTTTATTATTATTATTATTTAATTTGATTTTATTAAAAATTTTGATTTGATTGCACAAATTTCAGTTTTTTCTTATCAAACTATTTTTCTGCATTGCTGGACAATTGAAGTGCATTGAACTTTAGCGTCTGCGATTGGCAACAATGACGATAACGATGTAGACAACGAAGACGACGATGACGATGACGACGTTGACTTTGACATGCCGCCCGTTTGCCCTTAAAAGGCAAATACATATAAGATCCAACGATCTTGTGTTCCTATCCCTCATCTCCCATTCTCAGGAATGTTTTCCTCTTTCTGGACTTGACTTTTCCCTGGTTCCCTTTTATGCGGCATGTTAAGTAGGCATAAATGGGCGACAAGTAAGCCTATGATTCCTACATATATGGTTAAAGAACAGTGTGTTTCCAGGGGGAGTTAATGTTTGAGTAGTGAAGAAAAAACAAGGAAAGATATGGCGAAATAACATCATATTAAACAAGTCAAATCTGGAAAGATAATAGTTATATATAAAGAATGTATAGGATCTAACAAAGATTTGGTTCAGCTCATTTCAATAAAGAATTTAATTTGTTATGATAATAAATATAAACAAATTTGCTGGGGTTTTATACTTTTCTTCAAATTGAATTTTTGATTAATTTATATATTTTCTCTTTGCAGACACCGCTCTCATTTCCGTTTCCTGCACGACTGTGGGCTGTCAAAATGGCGGCACCTGCGTCACACAGAACAATGGCAAAACTTATTGCGCGTAAGTACAGTTTAAGATATAAATATATTTACATAAAACAAGTAAATAATTAAAGTCAAAATAATTATTAAGCTATTTAAAAGAAGCCAATTAAGGCTGTAGACTTTTGAAGTGTTTTTTATTTTTGAATGCAAAAATTACGCAAATTTGTTGCCTTAACTTTCCTATAAAATACTTTTTAATTATTTCAAAAAATCTCTACACTACTACACAATCACTAAGGGAAATTACATATCCATATAAAAATATATATAATTTATACAATTATATAAATACTTGGATATTTATAAATTTATTTAACAATGTATAAATTGTATAACTATGCATTTAAATAGGTAGAGTTTATTTCTTTGAGTGTAAAAGTGTCAATTTCGGGCATTTGCTTATGTCACTCCAATCCTCAAATTCAAGGACACCGTTGCCATCAAGGGAATGTGTACTTTGTGTACTTTAATTTAACTCGAAATTCGTCTAGACGAGAGGACAAAGAATAAAAAATAAATAAAAGAGGAAAGGCTTAAGCTTTGAGTTCTTTGCCAGACGACGACGAAAGCGCCCGCATAATCCTCAACGGAGTCTACACAGTCTCCGTTCTCCACTCTGCACTCTCCACTTCACCAATCTCCACAATGTTGGAGTCTTTACCAGTCCTCGTTGGTGAATCGAATCAAATCGGGCTCGTTGTCGAGCGACATTCCTGGCAAATCGGTTTGAACCTAAAACGAGAGTCTGGGAGTATATATTTCTGGTTCGTGCCTTGGGCCTGGTTCGCATGATTTTCACTCGCCTCGTTTTCGGTTTTTTCTACGTATATTACCCTCCTTAACGTCTCTCTCCCCTTGGTTTTATATATATATATTTCTTTCCGCCTTTTTGTTTTAGTATTTGTTTCTTCATGTTTTGTTGTCTATTTTATATATATACACATATATGTTGTCTGTGCAATAAATCAAATGCGGGCCAAAACAAACGGCACGTACGCAACGCATAACTTTGTTTGAGTTATTATAAATAGAGAGTCGAGTCGGACGGTGAAACGATCGCTATATCCATATATTTTGACAGACTGTTGTCAACAATTTTTACGAGTCTGTGAAGCAGGCCAGTCAGAGCATATATCCATATACATACATATATGAGATACGATCCGATGTGTATATATCAGATTCCTGAAACCTGGCATAATTAAGAATCAGTGCAGAAGAAGCCATGATTCAGTTGCATTCTTCAGCTATTTGTCACTGATCGGGAGCAGTGATCAAGTAGATATCTTCTCTTCAAGATTAGTTTTGAGTAACTTTATTTAAAAATATTTTAATCATTGATTTACTTGCCTTGGGTAACATGCTTTTCCCTGGACTTTTCTCTCTGTACTACACATGTCAAGTGATCCTCATTTCCCAACCATCCATCTCTTTCTCTCTCTTTATTTTTCGCTCTACAACTATCTTTGAGCAATTACATAAAAGTGCTTAGCTCTTTTTTGTTGTATTTGTATTTGTATTTGTATTTGCTTTTTCCTTAAGGAAGCGCAGAGACATGGGTCAAGAGACGAACGTAGACTTTGCGATCATCAAAGGCACGATCATCAGGCCAAGTTAAGTCAAGTCAAGCCAAGCCAAGGCAGTGTGTCCCATGTGTTGTCTTCTCCTAACTCCTTTCTGGCTTTTAGGCCACGATCACTAGTCTTTACAGTGATCACAGAGATCGTTTACTGTACTCATATAAATAAAGAAAATTGTACAGAACTTGTTAATATACAAATAATTATTCCTAAATTTCTGATTTGTTTGAGGTAAAAATAAGAAAAGAGTATTTACTGTACTGCTTTTATTTTTCTATCTTTCAGTTTGTGTTTTTTTTCTTTTTGGATATTTTTCTCTCTGTGCCAGATAAGATCGCTTTGAACTTTTGTCTTGAGCTATTCAAGCCGGGATTTTTGTCTCTCTTTCTCTATGGGTTTATCGTCTCGTTCCGTTAGTGATCCTAAAACCGTTTTAAGCTGATCCACGTTGATCCATTTACCACATCATTGGCTTGATTTCAAATCGCTCAATGATTATGTTTTTTTCTTGCTTTTTCCCCCTTGTTTTTTTTTTGCTTTGCCAAAATCTTTGATCAGTTTAACTTAGTTTTCCTTGTGCCTGTCTTCTTGTTTGTTTAATTGACTTGATTGCTACAGTTTGATGCCAAGAAAAAGAGAGACCACGAGCAAAAGCAACGTTTATGTCAGTCCAATTTTCCATTTTGCTCTTGTGGCTTTTGGCCATGTCAAATGTCATGTAAGTGTGCCTTTTTTTTTAGGCCTTATGTTACTTCGATCAGAACAATGAGTTTGATTTATATATGGCAAATAAAGGGGGAATATATAGCGGCAAACGCTTCAAAAGCCAGCTAACAACAACAAAAAGCGGTAAAGCGTTTCTGAATTGCGGTTTATGACATGTTAATGAGCACAGCATTTGGCTCGCATCCCCCTCGTAACTCTTTTTTTTTTTGTTTTGTTTTGGCGGAAAAAGCCTTTGATGTATGAAACTATAGCTTCTCTAACTGCTTTTCTTGTTTTTTTTTTATGTATATATCTTTGCTGATGAGTCAGTTAAGCTCACAAAAGAAGCTTCGAAATTGCAATGAGATGTTTTATTTTTAATTTAAAATTGTTAATAATTAAATAACAATAATAATTATAATAAGAAGAACAGATGCCATTTAGTAGCCGGAAAGTGAATTAATCACTTTGCTTGTTGTGAGAACTGAAGAAACAAGTTCGTTGCCTAAGTCTTTTGTTTAATTGTTTAGTTCTGTGTGTGTGAGTGTGTGTTTTTCTGTGTGTGCCTGCACACACACACACATCTAAACATGGCTATCCATAAGAATAATTTAACGTTGTTTTTTTTTCCTTCTTTTTATTTGAACTCTTCTTTTGGCCTGGCTCACACGCTTTGCACTTGAAAACGTTCTTGGCTTTCTACCTTCTTCGGCTCTTTCTTATTATTTTCTTTTCTTTGAAAAGAAGAAAAAAAAGTGAAACAAAAAAATAAGAAAGAAGAAAGAAAATGAGTAGGGAGGATGGCTTAAAGCATTTCCCAGCTGCAATTACTTTAATTAACTGATCATTAAGCACATTGGCCATGGACTTCTACTACTAGCTACCAAAGGAAATGACATTGGAAAATCGACAAGTTTTCTTACTTTTCTTTTTTTCATTTTGCCGATGACACATTAAACTTGTGGCGGCCATTTTTATTATACTATCACACACAGGTATATATATTTTATATATGTATATGTATATAAATTCCCCTTTTGTACTTGGCATCCTTCGAACCCAAAAAACAAAAAACTTGTTTGCAACCTGCACTGATTGCTTTTCTGTGTTACACAAGCCTCTCCAAGAGACAAAGATCCCATCCCAGAGCCAGAGTCGGAGGCAGTGGAGCCAAGTGGTCCAAGCCCATCCCCATGAGATCTTTGGCTACCCAAAAAACAAAAAATAAAAATAAAAAAAGCATAGCGAATATTTATTGTGCATTCCGTTTGCATTTTACATTCTTCTTTTTTCGGCGACCCTTTTTGCTCCACTTATTTTTGTTGTGTTTCCCTTTGCTTATTTTTTTTAGCTTTTTATGTTTTATGTTTCATGTTTTTTTCTTTATTTATTATTATCAAGGCGTTGGCGTACAAAATTCCTTTAGCGAACTTTTTATTTTCATCTTCTCCTTTGGTCAAATTAAAACGTTTTATTGATACTCAATTAAGTTGCACATTCTCACGCAAACTTAACGAAAGTCTTGGATGATCATTAATGATCGAAAATGATGATGATGAAGAGTGGCAAAAGAAGCGAAGCAGACAAAACACAAATAATACAAAAAAAAAATGTTAATTATTCAAATGTGAAAATGATGCATTACATAAATCCATCTGAGCTTTTGTGCCTTCTCATAACTGAAAGATGAAGAAAATGAAAGATTTTCCCAGGCATTACAAACTCTTAATTATGCCTATATGGGAAATATCTATGGTTTTTCACTCTTCTACCGGTGGCATCTATATATATATATATATATCATTTCAACACAATCAGATTCGGTGAGAAAAATGCCATTTTATAATGCAATATCTTGGATAATAAAAGCTTACATTAAATTAATCAATGCAATTAAATTGTGTACTTAACATTTTAATATTCTTTATGAAATGATGGTTATGCAAAGGCTCGTATAAAATATTTTATGGTAATAGAACCTCTAACAATGTTTTTCAGTGTGACCAAGCCCACATTTAATGCATTTCAGTAAGCTCAATTCAGAGAAGTTCTTCACGGTATATTTTCCTTTTATTTTATGATGATGAGTAACATCAATTTAAAAGCGAGTTCATAAAGATAGTTTTTATTGCCCCGATAGCTTAACGTTATTTATAATTTACATAAGACAAACAAGTTTGCCATAAACTTTCAAAAAACCTAAATACACAGTGCCTCATAAAACCAACCGTTTTTTTTATTGATAAAAATAAAAATAGAGTTTTATTTTTCAAATAAGAAAAAAAAGCTTAACAAAACGGCTTTACAAATTCTTTAAATTTTCCACGTTGCGCAATGGATACGATTCTCTACCTGGGAACAACATGTGGAAGTCATTCATTTTGACGAAGCTATGTCAGAAAATGCATTTCTTTTTTTTACCTGAGCAAGGTGGACAATGGAAAATGAAAGATCAAACAAAGAAAGAAACCTTAAATCTCTCTCTTTCTCTCTCTCGGATGGATGGAAAACAGAACGGAAAGGAAAAATTTATTTGGGTGTAAAATTTTGTTGTTAGGGAATCGAGCAGCGGGTTCACGCATTTTGTGGCCGTTTTTCCACTTCGTCCTCTCTTTTTCCCATTTTCCCAATTTTCCATTGTTCTCTGTTGAAGCAGCTAAACAAATATCGAATATCTGGGTGAAAGGAACATATAGATAAAGGCCCAGAGAACGGGAGAGATGATGCATTTGGGCGTGCTGCACCTGCGAAAGGGAAACAAATAATACAGAACACCAAATTTTTCACGTGAAAAACATGCTTAGCAAAAGTCGTAAAATTCGTAAAGAAAAGATACCGAAAAAACACTGAGCATGTAATGCGAGAATTGTGCTCTTCTCTCTGCTGCATTCTCTTTATTATTTTCTACATATATATTTAGCAGAAAATATATATTAAAGTAATTGCTGATTAAAGTCTAAATTCTTATCATTTAACCCTAAAAGATCATACAGAATCTTTGAGATTAGAACACTAAAGTCTCATTGATTCAATGAGATTAGACATATACAATGTAAAGCATTCATAAATTATACAATCAATCATATCTGTCAAATTACACAGACTCTTATCAGGCAATTAAAGAAGTTGTAATTATAGCGAAGACAAAGGGAGATCTCTGAGACATTAACTCTATAAACATTTAGCTTTGGTTGGCAGTTTTCTTGATGCTTTATTAATGTGCAAAAATCAGCGAAAAATGAGGAGATATATTCAAAGAAATGGGTTTAAAATTACTAGATTATTAATAAGTCAGAAAACTAAGACATGTGAGTTAATTAAGTTAGGAAATTAGATATCTCAAAGAGATAGAGATAGAGACAGAGACAGAGACAGAGAGAAAGGATGGAAGCCATATGGATATGAGATGTCAGTGGTCCGAGTCACTGAAAAGATGAATGATCATCGGCCAATGACATTAAATCATTTGCGTGTAAACGCAACCCAGCCTCTTCTCCATCCATCCTAGAAATCCATTCGATACGAAGCTAAAGCTAAAGTTAAAGCTACTATTTCTACTGCTATTGCTACTGCTGCTGTGGTTTATCCATTCAATCCGGAATGGATCGTGAGAAGCGAAATGCGAACAAAAATATATATATGATGCATATTTCTTTCATATTCTCCAACTCTCAGTCATTTTCTGTTTCGATCGCCAAACCGCAAAATTGAGTTGCAGATGCAGATGCCAAAGATACAAATGCAAAGTTACAGATGCAGATATATATAGACGATGGTGATCTGATCCGATCTAAGATAGATTTGCAGTGGGATTTTCTCACGGCCAACTAGGGGGGTTTTTAATTATTTGGAAATTGGTAAATAATTGTTAAGCCTAAACTATGTCAGTATAAGAAGTATTATTAAAACCTCAAGAAGTGTTAATGAGACTTTTGCAACTTTAAAAAAGGTATACAGATTCTTCAACAAACAATAACAGATCTTAAAGATCTTATAAGCTAAAACTACAAAATTTAATATAAATTCCAAGCGATTCATTCCTTCAGTTAGCTTAAAGTTTAAATCTTAATAATTAACCCACAAATGGAAGCATTAAATATAAGTATTACATTTATTTGAATTAATGTAAAACTAAAGGTCTTAGAATCCTCTTGCCTCCATGCTTAGTTTATAAAAAATAAACTTCTTACTTGGATTTTGTAAACTTTTATTTTATTATGACTTCTCTCGTGTTTAATTCTTTTAAAAATCCGTTTTCAAAACTAAAGTTTTGTTAAGAAAATGTTTTACATTTTCTTGTAAATCTACTCTTTATAAAATAATCTAAAAATCCGTTTTAAAAGTAAATTTTTCTTAATTAAATACTTCTTATATTAATTAAAATTCACTTCAAATATATATGAAAACCCCTTTTTTTTTTGCTTCATTTGAAACCATTCATTTCATTTCATTCCATTCAATTCCAATTTCTTTGACGTTTCGAATAAAGGTGACTCATTCTCTTTTGGCCAACTTGTTGGTAACGGCTTAAACCGAGGGGGGGGGGGAGAAGCTGGGGTTAGGGACAACTGCCTCAGTTTATTTGCCAATGCAAGTCACGTTTTCTGCTGCTGCTGCTGCTAATCCCCTCTCCTGCCTACCTTCTCCCCCGGATTCAAAACAAGTTACCAACCGAGCGACTTTGTGGAACTCAAACTCGGCTTGGCCGGTCTGTGTATATTATAATTTATATTACATTCATTTTTTTGTGGGAGAGGTAAGAAAAAAAAGCGCAACACCTAATTTCTTATATTTTTTTTTCGAGAAATATTAAACACCATTTAAGCTACTGTTGGAGCCAACATCCTGTGATCAAAGTACACACGCTCTTCGATTAGGATCATCGATACGACAGAGTTTGGGGCTAGGCAGGGATTCGATTTGCTATAAATTAATGCTAAATCTAAAGTATTTTCACACACTTGTAACGGGAAGTAGCAAAAGAAAAAAAAAAAAAAAAAAACCAAGAAAGGAGAGAGAAAAATAAGAAAAGCGGGTTTTCCACCGATGGACGAGCAAACCCCCCACCCCTGAACCCCGAGACCCCCTTCTTCTTCTGGTTGGTCAGCCGCCTTAATGATTATTCATTGCCTGATGCTGGGATGCTGGGATGCTCCTCGTTCGGTATGTGGCTACTGCAGCATCAGCATCAGCAATGCGTGTAATTTTCTCATTGCAGTAGCATCAGCAACAACAACAAAAAAAGTACAAAATTTAATATGCAATCAAGATCGCGCACAAATTACCGTACATAAAAATTGTTTTCTCAAGGGAAAAGTAACAACAACAACAACAATAATAATAATAATAACAATAACAACAAATACTTAAGGAGTGGAGAATTGGAGAAAAAAAAGAGACAGCAAAAGAGAGAGAGAAAGAGGAGAATAGTGTGCCATCATGGGCATTCATTTGTTGTTGCACTTTTTATCTCAATTTTGTCACTGTTTTTATGCCTTAAAATGGTTAATTACTAGATAAGAAATTGAAATCAGTAATTATTATAGAAAAATTGTTATAAAGCAACTAAAATTCCCAAGTACTAAGTACTATTGTTGAGAGATTTTAAAGTTATAAACTAAAGTAGATGTTTATTAAGAAAGGTTAAGGTTTATGTCGATAAAATCTAAAGAAAAACAGACTATTTAAATAAAGAAAAATATTTAAGAATAATTTGATATATATATATATCTTTTTATATGTATAAATTATGATTAAAAATTGCAAAACATTTAATTCAAAACATGATCTTATTTAAACAAATTATAAAAGAGTTTCTTATCCCTAAGAATTTAATTTTGGCATTAGCTTCTTTAAATACAGACACTCATCCCATAAGATATATATATCTTATATATATATGGGATAAATATCTTATCTGACGTCTAATCTGGCGCTGCTGTACTTTTGCCTCCTGCTTGGCTGCTTGTCTTGTCTTGTCTGGTCTTGTCTTGTCCGTTAAATTCCAACTGCAATTCAAAACCAAATCCAGTCCTGTGAAAGTGGTCCGAAAGGAGCTTGTGAGATCTTTGGGCGGAAATGAGGCTACTTTGTCAGCTTTAACACTTTGGAGCAGCATATGTGTGTGATGGTGTCGGGGTTTGGGGCTTGGGGTTTTATCAACCAATGCAAATCTAACCAAATGCCGATGTATTTGATATAACCGTCGAATGGTTTGCTAAGCAGACCAGTCTATAAACTATATAGTGAAAGATGTACAAATGGTGGGAAGGCACTGTAAGAAAAAGGATAGGATAATAAGCTTGGTTTGAAGTCATTTCTAAATAGAAATAAGTATGCTTACTTAAAGCATATTTATTTAAGAACCTTTAAGCAAAGTCTATAAAATATATAAATAAACTACTTCTAGAGAGAAAGTATAATTGTTTCTGCATCAGTTTATGTATCTTTATTTGTATCTTTACTATATCCTTTATATCTTTACCATTCCAGTTGTGATTCCCATTTTGTTGGCGACTATTGTGAGCACCGCAATCCCTGCAACTCGATGCGTTGCCAAAATGGTGGCACCTGCCAGGTGACCTTTCGCAAAGGTCGCCTCGGCATATCCTGCCAATGTCCCTTGGGTTTCGATGAGTCGTTGTGCGAGATTGCGGTACCGAATGCCTGTGATCATGTGAGGTGTCTCAATGGAGGCACCTGTCAGCTGAAAACGCTCCAAGAGTACACCTGTGCGTGTGCCAATGGCTATACAGGTGAGATTTGTTTTTTTAACATTTGGAAATGTATCTAATCTAACATATATATTTGTTTATATTAATTCAAGGTGATCACTGTGAGACAAAGAATCTGTGCGCAAGTTCGCCGTGTAGAAATGGTGCCACCTGCACTGCCTTGGCCGGCAGCAACACCTTCACCTGCACCTGTCCGCCTGGCTTTACGGGTCCCACCTGTTCCGATGATGTCGAGGAGTGTCAGTCGAATCCCTGCAAGTATGGCGGCACCTGTGTCAACACCCATGGATCCTACCAGTAAGTGTTTGAACTTTCTTTTGACTATAGTTTGTATACCCTTTCCAGGTTTTAAAAGCTTCTAATCATGTCAAGAAGTCATTTCCCACCCTATAAATCATATATATTATTGATCAGCACGAAAAGCCGAGTCGATCTAGACATCTCTGGCAATAAACATATTTTTTTCAAATTTTTTCAAAATTTTACAAGGGGTTACATCGTTAAAATTTGCAAAAATTTAACAAATTTTAAAATTTTAAATTGACTATTCAGATTTTTTTATAAAACAAAAACTAACATAGGGGCGTTTTCCGATTTCAAATTAAGGCATTTTTGACTTCGTAATGAGTTTTTTAAATTTCGATTTGTCGACCAAATTGTCTTAGAAAAATATCGATAAATATTGATTCAAAAAATGTGAATATGATCGATTCCCGATTCAATCCTGCAAAGATTCTCGAACTTAGTTCCTCTTTATATTTTACTGATTTTTAGCCACATTTCAAACTCAATCCTAATATAAATATCAATATAAATGAAGCAATTAACCAAACCAAAGCGTTTTTGCATATCAATCGTTTTGCCGATTATCAAATAAATCCAAGTGTCAGCGGATGTTATAACTCAACTACCAGCTGACAAGTGCAAATTGTTTTCTCTGTTCGACAAAAGATCAAACACGTCTGATTCTAGCAACAAAACCCCAAATCGATAACAAATCATCATCGTTTCGGGTTCGTTTTGCATATTTATCTGCCAAAGAGGCCCCTTTGGTAGCTTCCTTTAATTAATGGCTATTTAAAACTAATAATTTATAAAATCGCATTCAAAACTTGTGGTTTTATTTTCGATTTGAACCGATTTGCATAGCTTATTGATTTTCGTTTAGGCCAACAACAAATTGTCATTTCCACTCTAATTAAAACACACAAAAAAAAAGAAGACCGATCGACCTATAGAAAATAAGTCGAACAAAAGATCTCAAATTTCCGGCGATCTCTTTTGTTTGGAAAACAACAAATTTTACTCTTGTTTTTTTTCTTTTTTTTTTGGAAACTGGTTCGGTTTGTTCATGTAAATTAAATTATTTTGTTTCGTTTCGACATCATTTGCATTTTTAATTTGAAACACACAAATTATCCCATGTGCGGAGGTGTGTGTATATACATATCTTTACTAAAACCCATTTGAGCTGAAAAGTGCGATGTGAACATGTGTTTGCCGTTGATTTAGGTTTAGTTTGAGTGTATTTCAACAGGCTGACATTTTCAAAGCAATTAGCATACACTAAAAACAATTTGTTACCATTAAAACACACACATATTGGTAATAATTTAAAGCTACTTAAAGAGCAACTCACGATATTTGTATATTATAAATATATATTTATATATTTTGAAAAGTGCTGAACTGTATCTTTTACTTCCACATAAATTGCACTTTAAAATTAAACCTCATAAATTGCAATTAAATTGGTTTAGATCTCAGGTTCGCTTTGCAAAAAATTGAATCCCAAAATAAAAGTTCAAAATAAATGATCTTGGAGGGTAGCAAATGGGGGGTCCAAATGATCTTCTGCCACTGTTGAATGGCTTGGCAGGGCAATTTGCATAAATTTCATATTCGATTTGTGGATTTTATGATGTTTCTATGCTAAATCACTGCTTAAAAGCTTAGTCATACCCATAGTTTATGAGGCTTTCGATTTTTTGTCTCCTATTTTTTTTTTTTTGGCAAAAAACAGCAATTTTATTTGTCAACTGTCAGTTGGTGGGAATTTATTAATGGAAACAAACTGTCGAGCACACAAAAAGAATAATTAAGCGAATATTCAAAGCATTTCGATTAAGGGGATATTTGTGATTATTCGTGAAGGCATTGAATTTTGAGTGGAGTTAAATGGATGAATAATTCGAAGCACTCAATGGAAGTTGCTTAAAGTTTAAATTAATTTTTAGTTAAATGATATTGGGTAATGATATTTTTTATATAAAATATTTCCTAAAGGTTGCTAAATTATTTTAGGTTTTTTTTTATATTATGTAAAATGCATATTTTAGCTATTTATTTATATACAAGGATTGTTTTCAGTATAATTTCAATGTAGATCGGTTTACTAGCATGCAACAGAATTCGTACTTGGGAATTTTAAGCACTTTTTATTGCTGCTATGCTCTCATTTTATTCCATACAAAAGAAAACTTGAATAATTGGTATCTGCTAAGATTTCACTTGCTCATTAATGGCTCCACACGCCCAACAAAAATTACCAAAAAATTCAACCAACTCGAAATTACCAAAAATAATACCCAAACTTCATTTGAATGTGAGAAGAAACACCAACAACAAAAAAATGTATAAAAAACTTGGCCCTTGGGCTATTGGCCTGCTGAATTTCACATGTCAATCAAAAATCAATTTTTTCGGTACACTCGTGTGTATTTTGTTTTTCTTTTGTTTGGCTCAGACTCCAGGGCAATTTCAATTTAATGTAATTTACTCGAAAACCTTTCTGTAGTTAAAAAATAAAAGAGAAGTCTTGGCCAAATCTGAAATCTCCTCGAAAAATAAAAGAGAATTCCGCGTTCTGTTCTGTTTAGCCATTCAATTGTGTTGACTATTTAAAGAGTTTGCTGCTTGTGTGCCTTTTAATTGTTTAATTTCATTAAATGCTCTTTAATGGTCTTAATTAGCGCTGAAAGGGGCGTGGTCTCTTGTCTTATTTGGCCTTTTAAGGTGCTCCCGGCCGAAAAAGCAAACCCGTTTTAATGGCAAGGCAACAAGAGCGAACTGGAAACATTTCTCAAGAATCTCAATGCAGTTGGACTTTCGGTTCGGCTTACAAGGCACCAAAACAAATTAAGTTTAAATCACATTAAAAACAACGTATAAGAATGAAATGAAATGAAATGAAGAAGAGGCGGCCAGTACAAAATCAAAGTGAACAAAAACACTCGGCCCATAAAAGAGAGTCCCCAGCGAGAGATACTTGGGGTTTTTTTTTTGTGTTTTATATTATATTTTCTTGTGTGTGCTGTTGTTTGTGGTAACAACCGAAATAAAACCGGTTGAAACTCCTCTAAGCAATTGTGGCAGAGCCAGAAAGAGACAACGACCACCAATCCACACATACTCATGAACCTCAGTCCTCAGATTGAGATACAAATCCAGATCCAGATCCGAATCCAAATCCGAAGTCCCAACTGCAAAACGGAAGTTCAAGTCAGAGAGGAGACGAATTTTATGGTTTCTCTTGAACTTAATTACATACTGTCTTGATTTTATTAGTATTCCCATTCTATTTAGTATTTCTTGATAGCTAGTTCTTATTTCTTATTTTCTTATTTCCTATTTTTCAGATGCATGTGTCCCACGGGCTATACGGGAAAGGATTGTGATACCAAGTACAAACCCTGCTCACCGTCGCCTTGTCAAAATGGTGGAATCTGTAGATCCAATGGTCTGACCTACGATTGCAAATGTCCCAAAGGTGAGTTTATCAATAGACAATATATCAATCTATAATTCTAGAGGTTTTAGTTAATCGAAAGCTTTTTAAATATAAATATTTAAAGCCTACTTCTTCAATACCAAGTTTTATGTGTGTAGTCCTCATACGAACCAAGTTACTTGAGATGGTTTATTAAGCACTTGTCCATATATCGAGCTTAAGAACTTGATAACAAGATTAAAGGTTACTAGTTTGAGATCTTTAATTTAAATTAAAATATGAAAAATAATATAACAATATATAATATGTTATAGCATATTTCTATACATAGTTATTATAGTAACAATGTTTTGTAACATAGCTACCCCCATACCAAAATTCTAAGCATTTCTCCCGCTCAGAGCCAAGTTACAATGGTTTAGTATCAGTTTTTCCCACCGTTTTTCTTTCTAACTAAGCATTTGCTTACCCCCAAAGCAGTAAATTAGATTTGCTAACCTTAACTTACCATCTCCATCTCCATCTAAACTCCCGGGGTTATCAGTTATTAAAGCTTGATTCTCGATTTGAGCAAAACGCCCAACCCGAGGCATCAGGTTCTCACCAATCAAAGGAGAAAATGTGTCCCGATGAGAATGCTTCTCAGCGCCTATCGATAGCCAGTTATCGATTATGGTGAGTCATGACTCCATGACAGAGCCACGAGCCAAAAGGGGGGAAAATGAGAAGAAAAAGGCGCCCACGCCAAAAGTATCTGAAGTAGCTGGCTGCCACAAGGGGCAAACTCGTTTGTCAGCATCAACAAAAAAGGGGGGAAAAATAAACCTCCTTCGTTTGACCAGCCCAGCAGCAGCAGCAGCAGCAGCATCATTCATCAGTTTTTTGTTGTTTTTGCAACTGCAACTTTTACATTGCAACTCATTTCCATTCCATTCCATTCCACCGTTCCGCGGGCATTACAAATTTTGAAAAAAAGATCGTGGCCCTCATCCGCGAGCGGCTTCTTTCTTTCTTTCTTCTCGCAGCTTCCTCTTTTGATTTTTCTTCTGGCGGTTTCTTCAGCTTCCTTGGTTTCTTCATTGGGTCTCCTTGGCGGGTGATAGTGTTGCATGACCTCCTTAGGGCGTATCTCAGTGCTTAAGCATCCAATTCACCCTGAAGATCATTGCAGAAACGACGAAAGACATGGCATGGGTATTAAATTACTCCCAGGCGGCTTTAAGGAGTTTTTTTTTGGGCTTCAAATTGGCATAATTGTCGCAGTGATGGGTATCTCTGGGAATTTTATAGATATGTTACTTAAAGTATAAACTATTTCGGGAATTTATTTCGAAGTCATTTCAATCATCAGCAAAAACAATCTATACAGCTTATTATCTGCTAATTTATAGATATATTTCTGGAAGTATAAATTATCTTTTCTATATAATCACTTTAGAATTTATTTCGAAGCATTACATTGGAGTTCTTTAAATATTTTGATTTGTTTCAACAGCAGAAACAATCTAGACAGAATAGCCTTTGATCTCAATTTATAGTTATAGCTTAAGCATAATTATAAAGATTGGGTAAACTTGCTCCCATTGATTATAATTGTACGATCAGATACATAAATATATATATGTATTTACTCTCCCCCCTTCTTTTTTCCACAACTTTTTAACCTTCTGCCGTCAATTGTCGCCCATTCAGTGTTTTTCTTGTTGTAATTCTTATTCATCATGTAAATTGCTTGGATTGCATACAGTCGTATGTACATGTTTTCACACATATGTATGTCTTTATGTGTATGTGTGTGTTTTGTGTGCAATTTTCAATTAATTCATTTCAATTGATGCGAATTGCACACGACAATTTACAAAAAGCTGCAGTAAATGCAGCGAGGGGAGATACAGCAATGTGATAAGTCTGGCCTTTTAATTGCGGCCAATCAAAAATTCTAATGACTTAAAAAAACTTGGCGGAAGAATTGCAATAAATAGATCAGGGATCAGGCAAAGGATCGTGCGAAAGTGTGACCAAAACCATATTTATTCATATGCATTGGAAAATTGAGTCGTAGAAGAGTCGTATTTGAATTAAAATTCAGCATTATTAATTAAGAAAGGCTAATGAAGGATTGGATAGATTCATTTACGGCTAAAGATAATGGCAAGTTGTGATCATAGCTTTATTTACAATTCTTTTTATGTAGATTTAGATTGCGTTTAATCTACAAGGCGTAAAACCTGAGATCTTAAGCTTGATTTAAGATCGTGTGAAAGTGTGAACCAAGTCAGAATTTGCTCTCATTTATTGCACTGGGAAAATGTACGCCTTTTTCGTACCTTATGCAGTTTTTGTTTGGTTTTTTGTTTTGTTTTTTTGTGGCCCATTGAGCAATCTTAACCGAATTACAACAGCCAGCGAACAAGTCAACAACGAAACCGACACGACACGACACGAATCGCCCTGTGGACATCACGTTGCAACTTGCATTAAGAGCAAGAAGAAGAAAAAAGAAGCGAAAACAATTTCGGTATTTGGGTGGAGTAGAAGGGGGAAGGGGGCACAGGTTGAAGTTGCACTCATTATGGAAAATAGGGAAAGAAGCTGAAGATGTCGTTCGAGACAAAATAACTAACTTTAAAAACATACCAACAATGTTGAAAAAATACATAGCAAAGGAAAAAGGAAATATTGTATCTAAAATTAAGCTTTTTTTTTGTTCCTTTCGATATTTCTTTTCCTGTTCCTCCATCATATTTTGTTTTCCTTCCTGTTGTTTTGCTTCTTTTTGTCTAAGACAGCAACAAGTTGTAGTCGTAAATTAAATAAAAATAATAATAAAAAATGCCGCTGCAACAACACAGGCAAATAATTTCTTGCACTCTTGCACACGTACATACATATGTAAATATGTATATTTGTACGGATGTATGTTTGCACATGTGGCCCTTCTTTTGTGGCATTAAAAAACCGACCAAGCAGGAAAAATCATAAGGAAAAAAAAAAACAAAGCTCGTGGGCGAGACTGAGAGAGAGCTCTACATAACAAATATATCTGTATGCAGGGAAATACCATTGCAGTGCGATTTAAATCCTCCAACACACACACCAAGATAAATAAAGCGCAATGAACGAAGTCCAAAACTCGATCGCTTAAGAGAGCGAGAGCGAGAGAGAGAGAAGGAGTATAGCGTGGGGATGGGGGGCGTCGCGACTCGCGAGAGAGCGAAAAACCGAAGCGCGCGCAGCATAAACAGCATTTTTTCATTGTTGTGCGAGAGGGACAGTCCGAGAGAGCGGAAGAGAGAGAGGGAGATAGCTTGGCGCGCATTCGAAATAGTTGACCGCGGCAGCGATGCCGGCAGAGGCTTGGGGCTAGCGAGATATGAGACCGTGGGAAAGAACAACCAAAGACGTGTTGTGTGCTGGGTGCTGTATGTGTGTATGTTGGCACAGTTGTGTACAAAACTATAGCACATAATTAATGTAAATACAATAGTTTTGAAATGGGTTTTGGGGGGAAAACATTACCAACAAGTAATAAATAAATATGTTTCTTTTGTTTATGGTTTAGCAAGAGTTTAAAGAATATAAGGTTAACAAAATTGATATTTAATGATGTTATTTTATTGTATTTATTTTATTATTGGTAAAATTTAATTTTAAGGTTCTAGAAATTCATATATGATATAATTATTTCATAAATCTATTTGAATGTCCTTGCCTGTACGCATGTGTGCTTATATGCGGCTGCCTGTGTGCGTGCCTTTGCCTTGCCTTGTCTGTTTTCACGTTACATTTTGTTTGCCCATTCGCTTCGCATGCGCAGCCGCCAAAAGCAAAGCGCAGGCGCAGCAAACTCTAGGAAGGAGGGGGGCGAAAACCGAAGAGGGAGCCAGAGAGTTTATCAGGTAAACGGAAAATCCAAGAAATATATACATATATGTGTATATAAATGTAGATAGAGAGAGAGAGAGAGTGGTGACGCCGGCTCTCTCCCTCTCTGGAAAACAAAACAAACATGTGCAGCACAGCTGCAAAGCATTCCTTAGCAATAACAACAACAACCACTGAAAGATTGAAATACAAGCAAACAACTTTAAGCGGCCGTTGCGTTTTGTGCGGCTGCTTCGCCCTGCTCTTTATGTTGTTGTTATTATTGTTGTTGTTGCTTCTCAACCACTTTTTGTTGCCTACTCCATTCCTTCTCGTGTGTTTTTGTCTTGTTGTTGTTTTTGTTGTGGCTGTAAACGTTTTCGTTTATTGAAGCATTTTATGATGTTGCCATAAATCTGATTATGCACTCCATTGCACTGTGGAAAGAGGATAAAAGGGAGCGGGAAAAACAGATATAGGGAAGGATAACCAGAGGGGGAGAGAGCAGAAAATATCTCAAAGATACGTGTTAGTGTGACCGTTGTTTTGTTAAATATTAAGAAAATGCTGTTTTAAGATGGTAAAAACTTAATGAATGTATATTCACTTTACCTCAAATTCAAGATTAATTTTATACAGAAGGGAAATTTGATTTATTTTAGTTAAAAAACCATTAAATACCTTTTAAAGAACAAAAGAAATGGAAGCCTTCTTTCCTTGTAATAAAAGGTTTTATCATTGCCGCCAAAAAGTAGGCAATATTATTGTTAAGGACATCATATTCATAGGCAATCGAATAGTTTATCGGTTCAATCTTAAAAGCTCTTAATTTAATACGAAATAAATACATTAAATAATGAATATGAAATAAATTTAATATAAAATAAATACATTAAATAATTAATATATTATTTTTATCCTTTTCCAGGCTTTGATGGCAAAAACTGCGAACAGAACTTTGACGATTGTGTGGGTCATCTTTGCCAGAACGGAGGCACCTGCATTGACGGAATCTCGGACTACAGCTGCAGTTGTCCGCCAAACTTTACGGGTCGCTACTGTCAGGTGGATGTGGACGAGTGCGCCCAGCGGGAGCATCCGGTGTGCCAGAATGGAGCCACGTGCACCAACACCCATGGCTCCTACAGTTGCATCTGCGTCAACGGCTGGGAGGGACCGGACTGCAGTGTCAACACCGATGACTGCAAGCAGGCGGCCTGCTTCTACGGTGCCACCTGCATCGATGGAGTGGGCAGCTTCTACTGTCAGTGCACCAAGGGCAAGACGGGATTACTGTGCCACCTGGACGATGCCTGCACCTCGAATCCCTGCCATGCGGATGCCATTTGTGACACCAGTCCCATCAATGGCTCCTATGCCTGCTCCTGTGCCACCGGCTACAAGGGTGTGGACTGCTCCGAGGACATTGATGAGTGTGGCCAGGGATCACCGTGCGAGCACAATGGCATTTGTGTGAACACACCCGGCAGCTATCGATGCAATTGCTCGCAAGGATTCACAGGACCTCGTTGCGAGACGAACATCAACGAGTGCGAGTCGCATCCGTGTCAGAACGAGGGCAGTTGTCTGGATGATCCCGGCACCTTCCGATGCGTCTGCATGCCGGGATTTACTGGAACCCAGTGCGAGATCGATATCGATGAGTGTCAATCGAATCCCTGTCTGAATGATGGTACCTGCCACGACAAGATCAATGGCTTCAAATGCAGCTGTGCCCTGGGCTTCACCGGTGCCCGGTGTCAAATAAATATCGATGATTGCCAATCGCAACCATGCCGGAATCGTGGCATCTGTCATGACTCCATAGCTGGCTACAGCTGTGAATGTCCACCCGGCTACACCGGCACCAGCTGTGAGATCAACATCAACGACTGTGACTCCAATCCCTGTCATCGGGGCAAGTGCATCGACGATGTGAATAGCTTCAAGTGCCTGTGCGATCCCGGCTACACGGGTTACATTTGCCAGAAGCAGATCAACGAATGCGAATCGAATCCCTGCCAGTTTGATGGTCACTGCCAGGATCGAGTGGGTAGCTACTTCTGTCACTGTCAACCCGGAACCAGTGGCAAGAACTGTGAGATCAATGTGAATGAATGCCACAGCAATCCGTGCAACAATGGAGCCACCTGCATCGATGGCATCAACTCGTACAAGTGCCAATGTGTGCCGGGCTTCACCGGTCAGCATTGTGAGAAAAATGTGGACGAGTGCATCAGTAGTCCGTGTGCCAACAATGGTGTGTGCATCGACCAGGTGAATGGCTACAAATGCGAGTGCCCGCGGGGCTTCTACGACGCCCACTGTCTCAGCGATGTGGACGAATGTGCCTCGAATCCTTGCGTGAATGGAGGACGCTGCGAGGATGGCATCAACGAGTTCATCTGTCACTGTCCACCGGGCTATGCCGGCAAGCGTTGTGAGCTGGATATCGACGAGTGCAGCAGTAATCCTTGCCAGCATGGTGGCACCTGTTACGACAAACTAAATGCTTTTAGTTGCCAATGCATGCCGGGCTATACGGGCCAGAAATGCGAGACGAATATCGATGATTGTGTGACGAATCCTTGTGGCAACGGTGGCACCTGCATCGACAAGGTCAATGGATACAAGTGCGTCTGCAAGGTTCCCTTTACGGGCAGGGACTGTGAGAGCAAGATGGATCCCTGTGCCAGCAATCGGTGTAAGAACGAGGCCAAGTGCACGCCAAGCTCCAATTTCCTGGACTTTTCCTGCACCTGTAAGGTGGGATACACGGGTCGCTATTGCGACGAGGATATTGATGAGTGCGCCCTCAGTTCACCTTGCCGTAATGGAGCCAGTTGCCTCAACGTTCCGGGCTCGTATCGATGCCTCTGCACCAAGGGTTACGAAGGACGAGACTGTGCCATCAATACGGATGATTGTGCCTCGTTCCCCTGCCAGAATGGTGGCACCTGCCTGGATGGTATCGGTGACTATGACTGCCTCTGTGTGGATGGATTCGATGGCAAGCACTGCGAGACGGATATCAATGAGTGCATCAGTCAGCCGTGCCAGAATGGAGCCACCTGTAGCCAATATGTGAATAGTTACACCTGCACCTGTCCCCTGGGATTCAGCGGCATCAATTGCCAGACCAATGATGAGGATTGCACGGAGAGCTCCTGCCTGAATGGAGGCAGTTGCATCGATGGCATCAACGCCTACAATTGTAGCTGTCTGGCGGGATTCTCCGGCGCCAACTGCCAGTATAAGCTGAACAAATGCGACTCCAGTCCTTGCCTGAACGGAGCCACCTGCCATGAGCAGAGGGACGAGTATACTTGCCATTGTCCCAGCGGTTACACGGGCAAGCAGTGCTCCGAGTATGTGGATTGGTGCAGTCAGTCGCCCTGCGAGAATGGAGCCACCTGTAGCCAGATTAAGCATCAGTTTAGCTGCAAATGCTCCGCCGGTTGGACGGGCAAGCTGTGCGATGTGCAGACCATCTCCTGCCAGGATGCGGCGGATAGGAAGGGCCTCAGCCTGCGACAGCTGTGCAACAATGGAACGTGCAAGGATCACGGGAACAGCCATGTCTGCTACTGCTCCCAGGGCTATGCGGGCAGCTATTGCCAGCAGGAGATCGATGAGTGCCAGTCGCAGCCGTGCCAGAATGGCGGCACTTGCCGGGATCTGATTGGAGCCTACAAGTGCGACTGTCGGCAGGGCTTCCAGGGACAGAACTGTGAGCTCAACATTGATGATTGTGCACCGAATCCGTGTCAGAATGGAGGCACCTGCCACGATCTGGTGAAGAACTTCAGCTGCAGCTGTCCGCCCGGCACTTTGGGCATCATCTGTGAGATCAACAAGGATGACTGTGAGCCGGGCGCATGCCACAACAATGGCAGCTGCATCGATCGTGTTGGTGGCTTCGAATGCGTCTGCCAGCCCGGTTTTGTGGGTGCCCGCTGCGAGGGTGACATCAACGAGTGCCTGAGTAATCCCTGCTCCAATGCTGGTACCTTGGACTGCGTCCAGCTGGTGAATAACTATCACTGCAACTGCCGGCCCGGTCACATGGGACGCCACTGTGAGCACAAGGTTGACTTCTGTGCCCAGAGTCCCTGCCAGAATGGCGGCAACTGTAATATCCGGCAGAGTGGACACCACTGCATCTGCAACAATGGCTTCTATGGCAAGAATTGTGAGCTGAGTGGCCAGGACTGTGACTCGAATCCCTGCCGTGTGGGCAACTGTGTGGTGGACGATGACGATGGCTTTGGCTATCGCTGCGAGTGCCCCAAGGGCACCACGGGAGAACATTGCGAAGTGGACACCCTGGACGAGTGCTCACCGAATCCCTGCATGCAGGGCGCCGCCTGTGACAATCTGCTGGGTGACTTTGATTGCCTCTGTCCGAGCAAATGGAAGGGCAAACGCTGCGACATCTATGATGCCAACTATCCTGGCTGGGGTGGCGGTGGCTCTGGCAGTGGCAACGAGCGATATGCCGAGGATTTGCAGCAGCAACGGGCGATGTGCGACAAGCGTGGATGTGCAGAGAAGCAGGGCAATGGATTCTGCGATGCCGAGTGCAACAGCTATGCCTGCAACTTTGATGGCAACGACTGCTCCCTGGGCATCAATCCGTGGGCCAACTGCTCCGCCCACGAGTGTTGGAACAAGTTCAAGAATGGCAAATGCAACGAGGAGTGTAACAATGCCGCCTGCCACTACGATGGACATGACTGCGAGCGGAAGTTGAAGAGCTGCAACCGTCTGTACGATGCCTACTGCCAGAAGCACTACGGCGATGGATTCTGTGACTATGGGTGCAACAATGCCGAGTGCAGCTGGGATGGTCTGGACTGTGAGAACAAGACGCAGTCACCGGTGCTGGCCGAGGGTGCCATGTCCGTGGTGATGCTAATGGAGCTGGAACAGTTTAGGGAGATCCAAGCACAATTTCTGCGGAATATGAGCCACATGCTGAGGACAACGGTGCGCTTGAAGAAGGATTCCATGGGTCGTGACATCATAATACCGTGGAAGGATAATGTCCGAGTGCCGGAGATTGAGGATACGGACTTTGCCCGCAAGAATAAGATTGTGTATACACAACAAGTCTACCAGACGGGCATCCAAATCTATCTGGAGATTGATAATCGCAAGTGCACGGAATGCTTCACCCATGCCGTTGAGGCGGCGGAGTTCTTGGCCGCCACTGCAGCCAAGCATCAGCTCCTCGACGACTTTCCCATCTACAGTGTGCGTGGCATTAAGAATCCCGGCGATGAGGATAATGGTGAGCCGCCGGCGAATATCAAATATGTGATAATGGGCATCATTCTGGTACTCCTTGTCATGGCCTTCTTTGGCATGGTCCTGAGCACACAGCGAAAGCGTGCCCATGGCGTCACCTGGTTCCCCGAGGGATTCAGAGCACCGGCCGCCGTAATGTCACGTCGACGTCGAGATCCCCATGGCCAGGAGATGCGGAATCTGAACAAACAGGTGGCCATGCAGTCGCAGGGTGTGGGACAACCTGGTGCCCATTGGTCAGACGATGAGTCCGATATGCCGCTGCCCAAGCGACAGCGCAGCGATCCCGTCTCTGTGGTGGGACTGGGCAACAACGGTGGCTATGCCAGTGATCACACCATGGTCAGCGAGTACGAGGAAGCGGATCAAAGGGTCTGGTCACAGGCACATCTCGATGTGGCCGATGTGCGTGCCATTATGACACCGCCGGCGCATCAGGATGGTGGCAAGCATGATGTGGATGCCCGAGGACCGTGTGGCCTAACGCCCCTCATGATTGCCGCTGTGCGAGGCGGTGGCCTGGACACTGGCATCGAGGACATAGAGAACAATGACGATAGCACGGCTCAGGTGATATCGGATCTACTGGCCCAGGGTGCTGAACTGAATGCCACCATGGACAAGACAGGAGAGACTTCACTCCATCTGGCAGCACGCTTTGCCCGAGCGGATGCCGCAAAGAGATTGCTGGATGCCGGAGCGGATGCCAATTGTCAGGACAACACGGGCAGGACACCGCTGCATGCCGCCGTGGCAGCCGATGCCATGGGCGTATTCCAGATTCTCCTGCGCAACAGGGCCACCAATCTTAATGCGCGAATGCATGATGGGACCACACCTCTGATCCTTGCCGCCCGCCTGGCCATCGAGGGAATGGTCGAGGATCTGATAACAGCGGATGCGGACATCAATGCGGCTGACAACTCGGGCAAGACGGCGCTTCATTGGGCCGCAGCAGTGAACAACACGGAGGCGGTTAACATTCTACTGATGCATCATGCCAACCGGGATGCCCAGGACGACAAGGATGAGACGCCGCTGTTCCTTGCCGCTCGCGAGGGCAGCTACGAGGCCTGCAAGGCTCTGCTGGACAACTTTGCCAATCGCGAGATCACCGATCACATGGACCGCCTGCCCCGCGACGTGGCCAGCGAGCGGCTGCATCACGACATTGTCCGATTGCTGGACGAACATGTGCCACGCTCTCCACAAATGCTCAGCATGACACCGCAGGCCATGATCGGATCACCGCCGCCGGGACAGCAGCCACAGTTGATCACACAACCGACGGTCATATCGGCCGGAAATGGTGGCGGTGCTGGCGGCAATGGAGGTGCCGGCGCTGGCAAGCAAAGCAGCCAGGCGGCCAAGCAGAAGGCCGCGAAGAAGGCAAAACTTATCGAGGGCAGCCCCGACAATGGACTCGATGCCACGGGCGGCAGTCTGCGACGCAAGGCCAGTTCAAAAAAGACAAGTGCGGCCTCAAAAAAGGCATCGGCAGCCGGTCTGAATGGCCTGAATCCCGGCCAGCTGTCGGGAGTGCCGCCCACATCGGGCCTACAGGGATCAGTTGCATCGGCAGCGGCGGCGGCACAAGCAGCGGCAGCGGCAGCAGCAGCAGTGGCAGCAATGTCCCACGACCTGGACGGTGGTTCGCCGGTGGGCGTGGGCATGGGCGGGAATCTGCCCAGTCCGTACGACACCAATTCCATGTACTCGAATGCGATGGCCGCACCACCGCCGAACAGCAATGCGAATACGGGGACCAAACAGCCGCCGAGCTATGAGGATTGCATCAAGGTGAGTTGTGGGATTTCTTGGAGATATTAGAGAGCTTTATTAACTTGTTTGTGGTTTTCCAGAATGCGCAATCGATGCAATCGTTGCAGGGCAACGGCCTGGACATGATTAAGCTGGACAATTACGGCTACTCGATGGGTTCGCCATTTCAGCAGGAGCTGCTCAATGGCCAAGGACTCGGGATGAATGGCAATGGTCAGCGGAATGGAAACGGTGGAGGCTCTGGCGTTCCGGGTGTTGTGGGACTTTGTAATCTGAGTGGCCTGACCGGAGCTGGCAACGGAAACAGTCACGAGCAGGGGCTCAGTCCGCCGTATTCCAACCAGTCGCCGCCGCATTCGGTGCAGAGCAGTCTGGCGCTGTCACCGCATGCCTACTTGGGTGAGTCTAGATCCAGCACTAATTTCTTTACACTTTCGTAAACATGAAACTTATTTGAGAACCGAATTCCTTCCTTTGCAGGCTCTCCATCGCCGGCCAAGTCGCGACCCAGCTTGCCCACCTCCCCCACCCACATCCAGGCGATGAGGCATGCCACCCAGCAGAAGCAGTTCGGTGGCAGCAACCTCAACAGCCTGCTGGGCGGCGCCAATGGAGGGAGCGTGACCGGTGGCGTCGGAGGCGTTGGGCCACAAAACTCACCCGTCAGCCTTGGCATTATCTCGCCCACTGGCAGCGATATGGGCATTATGCTCGCTCCGCCACAATCCTCGAAAGGTAGTGCAATAATGCAGACGCTATCCCCCCAACAGCAGCAGCAGCAGCAACAGCAACAGCAGCAGCAACAACAGCAGCAGCAGCAGCAACAACAGCAGCAACAACAGCAGCAGCAACAGCAGCAGCAGCTTGGAGGCCTAGAGTTCGGTTCAGCAGGCTTGGACCTTAATGGATTTTGTGGATCTCCGGGTAAGTTTCGATAAAAAAAGAATCTCTCAACTCAACGAAAGCTAACCGTAAACATTCCTCGCTCCTTGCAGACTCATTTCACTCGGGTCAAATGAATCCGCCCTCGATACAAAGTTCTATGTCCGGGTCATCGCCATCGACTAACATGCTGTCACCGTCGTCGCAGCATAACCAGCAGCAGGCCTTCTACCAGTACCTAACGCCACCCAGCCAGCATTCGGGCGGCCATACGCCGCAGCATTTGGTCCAGACGCTGGACAGCTATCCGACGCCATCGCCGGAATCTCCCGGCCATTGGTCCTCCTCCTCGCCCCGTTCGAATTCCGATTGGAGTGAGGGCGTCCAGTCGCCGGCGGCCAATAATCTATATATCTCTGGTGGGCATCAGGCCAACAAGGGATCTGAGGCCATTTATATTTGACCATAAGCAGTGACTGGATTAGGATGGAAAGGGATAGGGATAGGGAATGGGAACGGGGGAATTGGGAACGGGACTGGAGGATCTAGAGGATCCCAGGGATTGCAAACAGGGACTCTTAAAGAGTTCCCCAAGGCTACACACACATAACACACACACGTTCTATATCTAAAATGCTATCTTATATATATTTAAATATATAGATATATATAAATGTATTTGTAATTCCTTATTCTCTACGATTTATGTGTAGTATTCCTTTTCACGACTTGTTCTATTATTTTTTTTTTTATTTAATTTAAACGAAGAGGAAAGGCAATTCCAGCGAAGGAACTTAACTTAAATTATGAATTATTATGCTTGTTGTACAGTGCGCCGATCACGTAGATATATCTACTCAGTGAGTTAAGAGCTCGTCTTGTGGGCGCATTTTATTTAATTGTCGTAACGTCATCGTAGCTTCCAGTAAACCGAACATATAGCATATAGTAATAAGGATAATGTAAGGCGAGGAGGGGTAACGAAAAGGAAACCTAAACTTAGCGCAAATTCTGATTGATCACTTGAGACACGTTTCTAGTTGTAAGCGACGCATTATATCATTATATCGTAAGCTAAGGCTAAGTTTTAATCGAATTCTATATTCAACCGATGGCCCCCATACATTTATATCGTAGTTCTGTAGGTCTCGAAACTGAAGTGCTTATATAAACAAAATTGTTAGACGTAAAAACTGCATCGAACGAACTATTTTTTTTACACGACGTTTTTTTTTTATTACTATTACTATTATTATTATTACTATTATGTATTATTACATAGTGACTAAGCTAAACTGTAAAAAGATTCTCATAACTGTTTGATTTAAGGCGACAAGCGAAAGGAGCGGCAAGAATTGTACGAAGATCACCGCCGTCGTATAATTTAATATTAATAATAATAATAATTAAATGATTTTAAAAGGGACGAGAAAAATATGGTAACAACTAGCCGCCAAGTTTTTTATATATGTTTAAGGCAACGCACCCTTTATACGATCTAAGCTAATAGATATTAATATATTTTCAAAAAATATACAAAAGACAACAAAAAGACACTACAAATTTAAATTAAGCAAAACGATTATCTTGTTCCAATTTTATTAATTTTTTTTTTTTTAATTTAAACTTTTAGCTTTCTTTTGTCCCGTCTATATATATAAATTTTTTACGTCGTTTTTAAAGTGTAAATTGTAAAATTACTTGTTTTCCTAATGCAAAACTCCAAGACAGCAAACGATAATGCGCAACAACCCCTTTTTTGACATATAAATAATAAATATTACAAATTATTTTAAAACAATTATGGGTGAATTTTTAATTTTGTATTTTATTGGCCTCGGCTTCCTATTATTCTTCGCTCTCCCTTACTCTTTCTCTTTCACATCTTGGCTTCACGAAAGTAAATTATTTTGTATTTTTTATTGTTTTTAAATCTATAAAATACAAAAAAAAAACACACATTTATACTTAGGTTATCCCGAAATGTAGCACCTGAAAACTGAAGTCGTTTTGAATATTTAACCAAAAATTGAAAAGTATGGCTATATAAAATCGATGGACAACCTTTAACCTTTAACCCCGCCACAAAAAACCATAGAAAACAGAGTACAACAATGTTCATGCAGTGGTCAGTGGTCATTCATTACATTTATTTAATTAATTAATCGTTAAGCGTAATTAGTTGCTGTGTCTTAGATAACGGTTCTCCCTAGAGGCCTTGTCCCCACCTCGCCACCACCTGACACATCGCACGATGATGACGATGACATTGAAGTTAAAGCGTGTGTGTGCGCTTCTTATTAACAAAAAGAAAAGGGGGAAGTGATAGTAGTGACTTTTAGACTAGATTTCCTTTTTGGTTTCCTCCGTTTTCGTCGTTGTTGTTGTGGTTAATGGGTCTGAGTTGTCAGTATTTCCATCCGTCGACTCTGGAGACTTCTTGGCCCCCGGTACATAAGGACACACACCGCCCTTGCACTCGAAGGGGAACTCCGGCCCCTTCTTGATTACATTGCCCTCGGCGTCCTTTTTCTCCCAGGGATTCCAGTAGCGCAGCAGAATCGGCTGGACAAATTTGTGCCAGATATATAGGAGCAGGGGAATGATAAAACAGGGCACGCACACCATCTTGTCCTTGTACGAATGAAACAGCTGTGCAGAAGGGATTATGAATACATAAATAAACGGAAATATTTGTCACTTACTTGTAAGCTTGTCAATTTTTCAATGGAGAACTTTGTTTTCCTGTTTTAATTAATTTTTATTTGTTTCCAGCCAATTTGTGTAAGCAGTGTGACCAAGGCTTTTTGTTTGAAATAAACTAAATATACCGCCCGCGGCCGTATGGAACTTAACTATCGATAACCGTCTTCCCTGGACTCAGACCCTGGATGGGAAAAAAGTAATAATATAAATGTTGTTGTACAATAGTTGTTGTTGTATTTTATGGTTGATGTAGCCATCTCAGATGAACCGCCACACTTAAATTCGATTTTTTATAAAGTTCAACTTAATAACCGCCAAATTTGAAATTCAAATAGTCCGCCAACGTCTTCTGCTGCTTTCTGGTGAACCGCCACACTTAAATTCGAATTTTTATAAAGTTCAACTCAATAACCGCCAAATTTGAAATTCAAATAGTCCGCCAACGTCTTCTGCTGCTTTCTGGTGAACCGCCACACTTAAATTCGAATTTTTATAAAGTTCAACTCAATAACCGCCAAATTTGAAATTCAAATAGTCCGCCAACGTCTTCTGCTGCTTTCTGGTGAACCGCCACATTTAAATTCAAAATTAAATAGGCGGTTTATTTCCGCCATACATGGTCTAAAAAGTCGAAGTGAGATTAATTTCCGCCATACATGGTCTAAAAAGTCAAACTCAAAAACCGCCAAATTTGAAATTCAAATAGTCCGCCGTCGTCCTCTGCTGATTTCTGTTCGCCTGTTACCCCAGATCAGGAAATGAGCAATTTGCTTAGAGATTTTCGACATTTTGCATAGGAAATGTGTTGTTGTTGTAGAAATGTTATTGTACAATAATTGTTGTTGTATTTTATGGTTGTTGTAGCCATCTCAGATGAACCGCCACATTTAAATTCAAATTTAAACGTGGCGGTTAATTTCCGCCATACATGGTCTAAAAAGTCCAAGTAAGATTAATTTCCGCCATACATGGTCTAAAAAGTCAAACTCAAAAACCGCCAAATTTGAAATTCAAATAGTCCGCCGTCGTCCTCTGCTGATTTCTGTTCGCCTGTTACCCCAGATCAGGAAATGGGCAATTTGCTTAGAGATTTTCGACATTTTCAATAGGAAATGTGTTGTTGTTGTAGAAATGTTATTGTACAATAATTGTTGTTGTATTTTATAGTTGTTGTAGCCATCTCAGATGAACCGCCACATTTAAATTCAAATTTAAACGTGGCGGTTAATTTCCGCCATACATGGTCTAAAAAGTCCAAGTAAGATTAATTTCCGCCATACATGGTCTAAAAAGTCAAAGTCAAAAACCGCCAAATTTGAAATTCAAATAGTCCGCCGTCGTCCTCTGCTGATTTCTGTTCGCCTGTTACCCCAGATCAGGAAATGGGCAATTTGCTTAGAGATTTTCGACATTTTGCATAGGAAATGTGTTGTTGTTGTAGAAATGTTATTGTACAATAATTGTTGTTGTATTTCATGGTTGTTGTAGCCATCTCAGATGAACCGCCACATTTAAATTCAAATTTAAACGTGGCGGTTGATTTCCGCCATACATGGTCTAAAAAGTCCAAGTAAGATTAATTTCCGCCATACATGGTCTAAAAGTCAAAGTCAAAAACCGCCAAATTTGAAATTCAAATAGTCCGCCGTCGTCCTCTGCTGATTTCTGTTCGCCTGTTACCCCAGATCAGGAAATGGGCAATTTGCTTAGAGATTTTCGACATTTTGCATAGGAAATGTGTTGTTGTTGTAGAAATGTTATTGTACAATAATTGTTGTTGTATTTCATGGTTGTTGTAGCCATCTCAGATGAACCGCCACATTTAAATTCAAATTTAAACGTGGCGGTTGATTTCCGCCATACATGGTCTAAAAAGTCGAAGTGAGATTAATTTCCGCCATACATGGTCTAAAAAATCAAACTCAAAAACCGCCAAATTTGAAATTCAAATAGTCCGCCAACGTCTTCTGCTGCTTTCTGGTGAACCGCCACATTTAAATTCAAATTTAAATAGGCGGTTTATTTCCGCCATACATGGTCTAAAAAGTCGAAGTGAGATTAATTTCCGCCATACATGGTCTAAAAAGTCAAACTCAAAAACCGCCAAATTTGAAATTCAAATAGTCCGCCGTCGTCCTCTGCTGATTTCTGTTCGCCTGTTACCCCAGATCAGGAAATGGGCAATTTGCTTAGAGATTTTCGACATTTTGCATAGGAAATGTGTTGTTGTTGTAGAAATGTTGTTGTACAATAATTGTTGTTGTATTTTATGGTTGTTGTAGCCATCTCAGATGAACCGCCACATTTAAATTCAAATTTAAACGTGGCGGTTAATTTCCGCCATACATGGTCTAAAAAGTCCAAGTAAGATTAATTTCCGCCATACATGGTCTAAAAAGTCAAAGTCAAAAACCGCCAAATTTGAAATTCAAATAGTCCGCCGTCGTCCTCTGCTGATTTCTGTTCGCCTGTTACCCCAGATCAGGAAATGGGCAATTTGCTTAGAGATTTTCGACATTTTGCATAGGAAATGTGTTGTTGTTGTAGAAATGTTATTGTACAATAATTGTTGTTGTATTTTATGGTTGTTGTAGCCATCTCAGATGAACCGCCACATTTAAATTCAAATTTAAACGTGGCGGTTAATTTCCGCCATACATGGTCTAAAAAGTTCAACTCAATAACCGCCAAATTTGAAATTCAAATAGTCCGCCACCGTCTTCTGCTGCTTTCTGGTGAACCGCCACACTTAAATTCGAATTTTTATAAATTTCAACTCAATAACCGCCAAATTTGAAATTCAAATAGTCCGCCAACGTCTTCTGCTGCTTTCTGGTGAACCGCCACATTTAAATTCAAAATTAAATAGGCGGTTTATTTCCGCCATACATGGTCTAAAAAGTCGAAGTGAGATTAATTTCCGCCATACATGGTCTAAAAAGTCAAACTCAAAAACCGCCAAATTTGAAATTCAAATAGTCCGCCGTCGTCCTCTGCTGATTTCTGTTCGCCTGTTACCCCAGATCAGGAAATGAGCAATTTGCTTAGAGATTTTCGACATTTTGCATAGGAAATGTGTTGTTGTTGTAGAAATGTTATTGTACAATAATTGTTGTTGTATTTTATGGTTGTTGTAGCCATCTCAGATGAACCGCCACATTTAAATTCAAATTTAAACGTGGCGGTTAATTTCCGCCATACATGGTCTAAAAAGTCCAAGTAAGATTAATTTCCGCCATACATGGTCTAAAAAGTCAAACTCAAAAACCGCCAAATTTGAAATTCAAATAGTCCGCCGTCGTCCTCTGCTGATTTCTGTTCGCCTGTTACCCCAGATCAGGAAATGGGCAATTTGCTTAGAGATTTTCGACATTTTCAATAGGAAATGTGTTGTTGTTGTAGAAATGTTATTGTACAATAATTGTTGTTGTATTTTATAGTTGTTGTAGCCATCTCAGATGAACCGCCACATTTAAATTCAAATTTAAACGTGGCGGTTAATTTCCGCCATACATGGTCTAAAAAGTCCAAGTAAGATTAATTTCCGCCATACATGGTCTAAAAAGTCAAAGTCAAAAACCGCCAAATTTGAAATTCAAATAGTCCGCCGTCGTCCTCTGCTGATTTCTGTTCGCCTGTTACCCCAGATCAGGAAATGGGCAATTTGCTTAGAGATTTTCGACATTTTGCATAGGAAATGTGTTGTTGTTGTAGAAATGTTATTGTACAATAATTGTTGTTGTATTTCATGGTTGTTGTAGCCATCTCAGATGAACCGCCACATTTAAATTCAAATTTAAACGTGGCGGTTGATTTCCGCCATACATGGTCTAAAAAGTCGAAGTGAGATTAATTTCCGCCATACATGGTCTAAAAAATCAAACTCAAAAACCGCCAAATTTGAAATTCAAATAGTCCGCCGTCGTCCTCTGCTGATTTCTGTTCGCCTGTTACCCCAGATCAGGAAATGGGCAATTTGCTTAGAGATTTTCGACATTTTGCATAGGAAATGTGTTGTTGTTGTAGAAATGTTATTGTACAATAATTGTTGTTGTATTTTATGGTTGTTGTAGCCATCTCAGATGAACCGCCACATTTAAATTCAAATTTAAACGTGGCGGTTAATTTCCGCCATACATGGTCTAAAAAGTCCAAGTAAGATTAATTTCCGCCATACATGGTCTAAAAAGTCAAAGTCAAAAACCGCCAAATTTGAAATTCAAATAGTCCGCCGTCGTCCTCTGCTGATTTCTGTTCGCCTGTTACCCCAGATCAGGAAATGGGCAATTTGCTTAGAGATTTTCGACATTTTGCATAGGAAATGTGTTGTTGTTGTAGAAATGTTATTGTACAATAATTGTTGTTGTATTTCATGGTTGTTGTAGCCATCTCAGATGAACCGCCACATTTAAATTCAAATTTAAACGTGGCGGTTAATTTCCGCCATACATGGTCTAAAAAGTCCAAGTAAGATTAATTTTCGCCATACATGGTCTAAAAAGTCAAACTCAAAAACCGCCAAATTTGAAATTCAAATAGTCCGCCGTCGTCCTCTGCTGATTTCTGTTCGCCTGTTACCCCAGATCAGGAAATGGGCAATTTGCTTAGAGATTTTCGACATTTTGCATAGGAAATGTGTTGTTGTTGTAGAAATGTTATTGTACAATAATTGTTGTTGTATTTTATGGTTGTTGTAGCCATCTCAGATGAACCGCCACATTTAAATTCAAATTTAAACGTGGCGGTTAATTTCCGCCATACATGGTCTAAAAAGTCCAAGTAAGATTAATTTCCGCCATACATGGTCTAAAAAGTCAAAGTCAAAAACCGCCAAATTTGAAATTCAAATAGTCCGCCAACGTCTTCTGCTGCTTTCTGGTGAACCGCCACATTTAAATTCAAATTTAAAAAGGCGATACATTTCCGCCAAATTTAAATTCAAATAGTTCTCCTTCGCCCTCTGCTCTTTCTGTTCTTACCTGCCCGCAACTGCCATAGCTATCTTAAGGATGTTCCTAAAATAAGTTTCTCCAGATAATTTTGTTTTTGCAAGCTTAGTTGCGTTATTTATTTATTTGCTGTTCTATATGGGTCTACATATATATACGTCATGTGTGTATTTGTAAATGAAATAGTTTGTAGTACAAAAGTTATAACAAAATAAATAACAAGAAATCATTTTAATACAATAATACGCGAAAATACAATATATGTATGTATGTACATCAAGTTTGCTGAAGTTTAGTACAAGTTTATATTGCTAATGGTTCCGAAATAGAGCTTATAGAAGAAATTCTTTCCAGTTTGAGAGAAAGCTTAACTCTCACCGTTGACATGGAACAGAATTCTTTTAATCTCGCCTCTTACCCGGGTACATTTTGGTTTACGAAGAATGGCCCCAAAACCGTAGCCCCCATCTGCTCCGCCTCCTCCTTTTCGCCAAGACAAATGGAGACATCTACAATTTAGGGGTTTCGATAAATCAAGGACAGTATTTAAATGCTAGGATTGCGTAAAGAGGAAAAGGCGGACATCGTGCCTCATTCCGGATCCCTACACGTTCGTGGGCGCATCCATGCCGCAGATGACCGACTTGACGACGGCGGCCGCCGAAAGAGCTGCGAAATTCTGCCACTTCCGAGTGGACATGCCGTCCTTGTAGTCGGCAATGCCCTTCACCAGGATGAAGCTCTCCCTGCAGTTACCGATGATGCTGTCGAGTACACTGCTCATCTCCACATCGGTGGCCAGCAGGCCGTACTTCCGGGCAAAATCAGTGCGCAGCTCGTCGCTTCGTACCAGATCCCTGCCCGAACCAATGGGGCCCAGGTGCAGGCGCAAACGGGGAACGCCGTCCAGCTCATCAGCCGCTATGGGATGGGCCACCTCGATCACCTCATTGTTGCCGATATTCATGAACAGCTTGTCTGTCCTCGCGTCCGGCCGATTGAAGTCGCTCTCCGTCTTCTGGGCGAGCGTCTGTTGAGCCTGGTTCAGGTAGGTCTCCCACGGCCGCTTCACTAGCATATTGGCCTGCAGACTCTCGGCGATCAGCTGCAGTGAATCGTTGATGGGGAAGTAGGTCTTCACATCCTCGCCGCTCTTGTAAACGTACACGTACGGCTTCTCCTTGCTGCAGGTGAGAAAAGAAAGGCTTTGTTATGATTATTTCGATATAAAATATTTAAAATCCTTACCTATTGCTAATCAGTGCCCTCTGCTTGTCCACATACGAGATGACCACATCGCCCAGCCGCACATGCTTCTTGTAATCTGTGTAGTGCGGCACACCGCCGCCACACCCACAATGAAACGAAGTCCACCTTCTGGAATGTGCCCAGCAGACGGGTTGTGGTATTTCCAGTCGCCGTCATCGCCTCCCTTGTGCTGCCCACCGATGGCAGCTTGGTGCTCACGATTCTGTGGGCTCCAATGTTGCCCAAAGTATAAACGTTCGATTCGCCTGTGGAAGAAATGCGGCAAAAGGGTGGTAAGTAGATATATCTTAGTGTTCAGAAAGGATACGCAGGGGGTACAATGTACAAAGGATATTTGCGGGTGCTTAGGTATATACATTTGTGAATATATACATATACATTATTCAAATGAAACAGTTGACAGAAACTTATTTCGATAACTATTTAAACGGATAAACCAAACCAGTATCCAATATATAGTTAGGTATTTTTATACCCTTGCAGTAATTTCCGACCCTATAAATCATATATATTTTTGATAAGCGGGAACAATTTTTTTTTCAAAGCTCATAAATTTTTCGGAAAAAAGAAAATTGGTTAGATGTTACAATTTTCAAAAATTGGTAAAAGTTTTAAATTTTTTTAAATTTTAAATTGAGTATGCAGATTTATTAAGCTAATAAAAACAAACATAGGAGCGCTTTCTGATTTAAAATTAATGCCTTTTGGGCTTAGTTATGAGCTATTTAATCACTGATTTGTAAAACAAATGTTCATATTATTTTTGATAGATTTTTAATACCATTCATTAATTCAATTGTGAACTGCAAGGGCATATGAACTTCGGCTTTTTGAAGTTAGTTTTCTTTCTCGTTTTTCTGTGCTTTTCACCTTTAGAATGAACCCGTGCGTGACGGATATAATCAAGCCCCGTCATAGGGTGAATGTTATAGATGCGTATACAATAAAAGGTCATGTAGCCTAGGGCAATCCTTTACCATAACAACAAACCAATAAAACGAAACAAAATCGACGACACAACCATAAAATACACACACAAAAGGCGACACGAATGATACCACAAATCAAGGAATTATTCTAGGCCAAGTTCAAAAGTTTGTTCGTGCCAAAGTTTATGGCAAATCATTCTAATACAGGGCACATTGGCTAGAAGGGAGTTACTTTGGTAAAATTAGCTCTAGCCAGTCTAGTTTTTATACTTTTTAAATTATAAATAATTAGAAAAGATATGGTTTTAGTATTTACTTTAAATAAACTTATTTTTTGAGTAAATCATTAATTGTTTTATAAAAAAAACCTAGTAGAGTATTTTCTTGTAATGAACTTGACCTAATTTAATGAATGATTACTAGAGCTGCAAAAATATTCATATTCGAATGACAAATTAAAATTTTCTATCTTATACAATTTTCTATTTTATAAAATATAAAAGTTTTAAAAAATTTTACAGCAGTTTTTGATAATTTAACAGATGTTGATATTGATATATTGGTTTTGAAAATCAATGTTTTTGCAGCTCTTGTGAGTGGGACAAAATTTAAATTTTGGATTCTAGACATTGCTTACCGAATCTTCGTTTCTTTTTGGACTTTCTTAGTGAGTTCGTTAGATTGGGATCGGAATCTGTTACATGGGGAACGGGGGATAGCATTCAAGTATTTGTTTTTTTCGTGGAATGGTTACAATGTTTTTTTTGTTTGTTTTTTTTTTTTCATTGCAGGCAAGCAGTATGTAAATTCATTCGGTAACCGCCGAAATTTGTTTTGATTTCGAAATGGGAAGGAGAGAGAGAAACAGAGAAAATATAGAGTTAAAGGCAAGAGAGAGTTTCGATTAGTAAGAGTCTGATTTTTTGGGGGAGGAAAGATTTGATTTATCAGGCAATTGTGCTATCGATCAGTTATCGATCTTATTACCAACATACCGACTGTTGTGTATCGGACGAATGTCTCCTTGTTCTCGAGCATTGCATCAACGGCCAACTTCTCACAATACTGGGCCGTAATGATGGCTATGGTGGGCTGCTTATTGGAGGCAATCGTGGGCATTTGCTTGACCACCTTGATCTCCTTGTCCTCGTGATGGATGCGAGTGTACGCATTGTATTCCATCAACTTGATAAGACCACGCTCCTGCAGCGATTGAATAACCAACAGGACATCCTGCTCGCTCCAGCCATAGTCCCTGCGAAAAAGTAAAATTAAATTATTATATGAATTATGTGATAAGTACATATTTTACTCACTTGGCCAGATCCTCGGGGAAACGGGATTGGGATAGGCCTGTTCAATCAGCTCCAGCACCTTCTCCTGGGTTAATGGCGGAGATTCGAACTGGGATTCTTCCAGGGAAACTGCGGGCAGAGAAATATACTTATTAATTAAAGCACACAACACAACACTTGGTAAGGGAAAAGCACCCTTGAGGGGCTATTAATGCGGCGGAGAACATTCTCCACTTCTTTTAGCAAGGCAATGACATCTAACTCTGAGCGGTGGGCGTGGCTGGTTAGTTACAAAGTTACACACACACAGTTCAGGGGGCAACGAGCGGGACTGCAACGGGTGGCTTTTAATGGCTCAATGCTCAAGCGGCGTATTTTAATTGCAGGCGACAGACAAAATTGGTCCTTGAAAAGGGATCTGGGGGGTTGGGGTAGCAAGGCAAGGCGACAGCAATCACAATTGCAGGGCAATGCACTGCCTCAGTTTGAAAAGAACTGAGTTTGGGCTTTAAGAAATCAAGAAACACTGATGTTTCTCGCCTTAAGGCAGTTGAGAAATCATTGCAGAATAATGAAATTAAGGATTCAAATTCAAATTTAAATAATTAAATATTTTTTGTATTAAAAAAACTGTAACAAAAAAATAACCTAACCCTTGAAAAACTAGCAGTTATACCCTTCCAGGATATTCTAATTTCAGTTAGAAGCTTGCAAACCAGTGATAGAGTCATTTTCGATCCTATAAATCAAATATATTCTTGATCAGAATTAACAGGCGAATTGTTCTGGCCATCTCTGGTAGCAAAACAGACATTTCCAATTTTTTGAAAAAAATTCAAGGGGTTACATCGCAAAAATCTTAAAAAAATTGGATCTCCTAAAAAGTTAAATTTAGTATGCAGATTTGTTAAACACCAAACAACTAACACATGAACGCTTTCCGAATTGAAATTATGCATTTTGACAAAGTTATGCGATTTTTAAACCTTGGCTGTCCCAAAAAATACTACAAAATTAAAAAGTACAAATTTCGATTTTAAGAATCTTGCAGAGGAAAATATAATTTTTTTCAGTGAAGGAGCCATTTCCGACCCTATAAATCATATATATTCTTGATCAGCATTAACAGGCGAATCGTTTTGGTCATCTCTGGTAGCAAAACAGACATTTCCAATTTTTGAAAAAAATTCAAGGGGTTACATCGCAAAAATCTAAAAAAAAATTGGATCTCCTAAAAAGTTAAATTTAGTATGCAGATTTGTTAAACACCAAACAACTAACACAGGAACGCTTTCCGAATTGAAATTAATGCATTTTTGACAAAGTTATGCGATTTTTAAACCTTGGCTGTCCCAAAAAATACTACAAAATTAAAAAGTACAAATTTCGATTTTAAGAATCTTGCAGAGGAAAATATAATTTTTTCAGTGAAGGAGCCATTTCCGACCCTATAAATCATATATATTCTTGATCAGCATTAACAGACGAATCGTTTGGCCATCTCTGGTAGCAAAACAGACATTTCCAATTTTTGAAAAAATTCAAGGGGTTACATCGCAAAAATCTAAAAAAATTGGATCTCCTAAAAAGTTAAATTTAGTATGCAGATTTGTTAAACACCAAACAACTAACACAGGAACGCTTTCCGAATTGAAATTAATGCATTTTTGACAAAGTTATGCGATTTTTAAACCTTGGCTGTCCCAAAAAATACTACAAAATTAAAAAGTACAAATTTCGATTTTAAGAATCTTGCAGAGGAAAATATAATTTTTTTCAGTGAAGGAGCCATTTCCGACCCTATAAATCATACATATTTTGATCAGCATTAACAGGCGAATCGTTCTGGCCATCTCTGGTAGCAAAACAGACATTTCCAATTTTTGAAAAAAATTCAAGGGGTTACATCGCAAAAATCTAAAAAAAAATTGGATCTCCTAAAAAGTTAAATTTAGTATGCAGATTTGTTAAACACCAAACAACTAACACAGGAACGCTTTCCGAATTGAAATTAATGCATTTTTGACAAAGTTATGCGATTTTTAAACCTTGGCTGTCCCAAAAAATACTACAAAATTAAAAAGTACAAATTTCGATTTTAAGAATCTTGCAGAGGAAAATATAATTTTTTTCAGTGAAGGAGCCATTTCCGACCCTATAAATCATATATATTCTTGATCAGCATTAACAGACGAATCGTTTTGGCCATCTCTGGTAGCAAAACAGACATTTCCAATTTTTTGAAAAAAATTCAAGGGGTTACATCGCAAAAATCTAAAAAAAATTGGATCTCCTAAAAAGTTAAATTTAGTATGCAGATTTGTTAAACACCAAACAACTAACACAGGAACGCTTTCCGAATTGAAATTAATGCATTTTGACAAAGTTATGCGATTTTTAAACCTTGGCTGTCCCAAAAAATACTACAAAATTAAAAAGTACAAATTTCGATTTTAAGAATCTTGCAGAGGAAAATATAATTTTTTTCAGTGAAGGAGCCATTTCCGACCCTATAAATCATATAGATTCTTGATCAGCATTAACAGGCAAATCGTTTTGGCCATCTCTGGTAGCAAAACAGACATTTCCAATTTTTTGAAAAAATTCAAGGGGTTACATCGCAAAAATCTAAAAAAAAATTGGATCTCCTAAAAAGTTAAATTTAGTATGCAGATTTGTTAAACACCAAACAACTAACACAGGAACGCTTTCCGAATTGAAATTAATGCATTTTTGACAAAGTTATGCGATTTTTAAACCTTGGCTGTCCCAAAAAATACTACAAAATTAAAAAGTACAAATTTCGATTTTAAGAATCTTGCAGAGGAAAATATAATTTTTTCAGTGAAGGAGCCATTTCCGACCCTATAAATCATATATATTCTTGATCAGCATTAACAGGCGAATCGTTCTAGCCATCTCAGGAAGCAAAAGAACCATTTTAAATGTGCAAAAATTAAAAAAAAAATATTTGAATACCTTAAAAAGGAAAATTTGGTATGCAGAATTGTTAATCGCCAAACAACTAATTTAGAACCGCTTTCCGAATTGAAATTAAGGCATTTTGACAAAGTTATGCGATTTTTAAACTTTAGTCGTTCCAAAAATATGATATAGAAAAATCCCTTACAAAAAAATTATCATATAAAAATATCAATTTTAGGAATCTTGCTGAGGAAAATATAATTTTTTCAGTGAAGGAGCCATTTCCGACCCTATAAATCATACATATTTTTGATCAGCATTAACAGGCGAATCGTTCTGGCCATCTCTGGTAGCAAAACAGACATTTCCAATTTTTTGAAAAAAATTCAAGGGGTTACATCGCAAAAATCTAAAAAAAATTGGATCTCCTAAAAAGTTAAATTTAGTATGCAGATTTGTTAAACACCAAACAACTAACACAGGAACGCTTTCCGAATTGAAATTAATGCATTTTTGACAAAGTTATGCGATTTTTAAACCTTGGCTGTCCCAAAAAATACTAC